AGGAAGTATTGTAATCGAGTCCGTCGGCCGACTCTCTACTTTTACGTTTTCTCGATCTTTCATGACCCCTAGAAGACGAAGAAATGGGTCTCCCATTTCCGTCTGTCTGTCCGTCTGTCCGTCCGTCTGTCCGTCCGTCTGTCCGTCCGTCTGTCCGTCCGTCTGTCCGTCCGTCTGTCCGTCCGTCTGTCCGTCCGTCTGTCCGTCCGTCTGTCCGTCCGTCTGTCCGTCCGTCTGTCCGTCCGTCTGTCCGTCCGTCTGTCCGTCTGCAGTCCCGGATTTTTATTAGACAGATAATCTCCGTACTTATATTAGAAATATCATGTAGATGGTAAAACGCTAACCAAAATTTGTCTAATCATCCCCACCACTAATGCGATGACGTCACTTCAAAATTGTACATAGTAAATATGTCTTAAATTGTATAAAATAACATAGTCCTACACATGTAGTTTACGACTCCGAATTCAGTTTTTACCCGAAACGTCCAGATTTTTGGAAAAAAAATCAAAATTATAAAACAACATTTTGCAATTTAATTTTGAATCTGCTAACCCGAATGTTTTGAAATGTTGCAGATGTTTTAAGGCTCTAAAGAGCATCATAAATCTTTAGTCAAAATATATTTGGTTATCCCCTCCAAAAACTTGATGACGTCAGCTCAAAAGTTTGCCAAATAAATCCTATCTAAAATGTACAAAATATGATGCGTCTGTGCTTGTGATATATCACTCCATTCATATTTTTTGGATTTGCATATACAGGATGACTCAAAAAAATTAATGAATGCGCAAAATTTATTTTACTGATTTACTCATTAACTACAAAACCGAATGCTTCGAAATCTTGAAGATGTTTTAAAGTTATCATAAGCATAGTAAATTTTTTATCAAAATGTATTTGGTCGTCCCTCCTAAAAAATTTATGACGTCACCACAAAATTTTGCCGAATAAATCCTATCTAAAATGTACAAAATATGGTGAGTCTCTTCTTGTGATTTATCATTCCATTCAAATTTTTTCGATTTGCATATACAGGGTGACTGAAATAAAATAATGAATGCGTCAATTTATGTTATTGATTTAATCAGGAATTACATAATCGAATGCTTTGAAATCTTGGAGATGTTTTAAAGTTACCATAAGCATGGTAATTTTTTTATCAAAATGTATTTGCTCTTCCCCACTAAAAAAATCGATGACGTCACCCTAAAATTTGGTGAATAAATCCTATCTAAAATGTGAAAAATATGATGAGTCTGTACTTGTGATTTATCATTCCGTTCATATTTTTTCGATTTGCATATATAGGGTGACTGAAAAAAATTATTGAATGCGTCAATTGATTTTATTGATTTAATCAGGATTTACAGAACCGAATGCTTTGAAATCTTGGAGATGTTTTAAAGTTATTATAAGCATGGTAAATTTTGTATCAAAATGTATTTGCTCATCCCCCCTAAAAAATTGATGACGTCACCCCAAAAGTTTGCTGAATAAATCCTATCTAAAATGTACAAAATATGATGAGTCTGTACTTGTGGTTTATCATTCCATTCATATTTTTGGATTTGCATATACAGGCTGACTCAAAAAAATTAATGAATGCGTGAATTTATTTGATCGATTTAATCAGGAATTACAAAACCGAATGCTTTGAAATCTTGGAGATATTTTAAAGTTATTATAAGCATGGTAAACTTTTGTTCAAAATGTATTTGTTCATCCCTCCTAAAAAAATTGGTGACGTCACCCTTAAATTTTGCTAAATAAATCCTATCTAAAATGCAGAAAATATGATGAGTTTGTATTTGTGATTTATCATTCCATTCATATTTTTTAGATTTTCTGAAAGGGTGGCTCAAAAAAATTAATGAAGTCAATTTATTTTATTGAACAAATTAAAGGCAACACTTATTATTAGTATTACATTGGACCAACCCAATTTGGTACACAAAATTTTTTAAAGTTAAAACTCGGTTGAAACATAGCTGACTAGGTTCCGCGAATGTGGTATAGACATGTTTTAAATCAACCAATTGTGAATTCCACCGTCAAAAATTAAAATAAAATCCAATGTTTTATATAATAAGCGGAAGTCGAAGCAATAAAACCGATGGTTGTTTTGTTTACAGTTTCTCTGTTTGACTCTCACGTATGCTGTTACGCCTGTCATCTTAAATTAAGAATGTTTATACATACACGATTTTCAGTTGCCTCTGATACGTATACGTGAGTAAATTGGTTCGTTATCTTATTGATTATTACATATCAATATTCAAAACGACCCAATTCATTTTCCCGAAAATTTGGGAATATAATAATTTTATTCTTAGTATTACACTACATCTATCCCAACTAATATACGTGTCCTTGCAAAAATGTTGATGACGTCATCGCAATTTTTTTTTAAATTCCCACTACAAAAATGTAATGAGAAAAAAAACACAATAGGCATGCAGTCGTCAAGTTTCCGACAGCGAGGGAAGTACTGTCTAAACTCTTTAGACCAATTTTTTTACTTGCTGTAAACACTCCTAGCGACGCACTGGCTACGACCTTGTGGACCAGATCAAGGCGTCCCCACTACTCTCCGTACTGCTTATGAGACATTTCACTTGGGCGATTGGGCTGATCTATAAGTCTTTGCCATTTCTATTGAAACACCACTTGTTAATCGTAAATTTGGCAACATTGATGTTCAGACAATTTTCTAATTAAAAGCCGTTGTCAATCAACCGAAAACTGTTACCAATTGCCAAATTTTAAGCAAAATCAACAGATGGTGTTTCAGTATGGCAAAGACCATAACTACTCTATGGAATTAAAAAAACTAAGACCTAACCTAACCAATAACCATCTAAGTAAACGATCGCAATGATATCGTAAACATAGATGACGAATCAAATAAAGCACATGGTTTTTAGAGCGCGAATTAAATGTGAAGGAAATTTAAAAGTCGCCATTTCTCAAGCATGTACGTACAGCAGGCTGTAAAAATACCGCAGCTTTGAATACAGTCGAGGCCCTTAATAATGGCCGCCTCCGGGTCCTAGCAATGGACTGCCGACAGTACCCGAACGGTTTGAGAAAGGCAAGTTGGTTTAAAACTGCAAACACAGATCTGCATTTATCAAAATTCAGGTTTCTCTCAGTGCATAGCTAGGACATGGCCATGGGAGGCGGTCATTATTAAAGGCCTCGACTGTAACTACATATTTAAAAAAGTAGCCAGTTTGGCGCCACTTAAAAAAATAATAGCCATAAAATGTCGCCACTCGCCAAATAAAGATTTTGGTCGCAGTGCCACCAAAAAAATCGTCAGCTTTGCGATAAATAGCCACAGCTGGCAACCCTGCTTCAATAATGTAAACGGAACAGGGAAATTTTAGCTGGCGGGAATGGTTAAAATATATATCTAATTTATTTAGTTAAACTTTAAATAAATATATGTTTACAGTTAACCTTTTTTTCTACACATATATTTTAGGTTTATAAAATAGTTTTAGCTTGTGGAGCTCTTTAGTTAATAATATTGCTTAATTTTCCCAAATGTGTCAGTCACTCCTTGATTTCAGTAGGCTCGACGAAAATTTTTCTAATGTTGAGAGTAGCCCATGTAAATTCAATCTCTTCTCTAGGAAATAACAATACGTTCTCACATTTCAATTGTGCTAATTGAATATTTATATAAAAAAAAAATTGTAAAAGTCATTTTTAAGTGGTAGGTACTTCTTTTCGATTTAGCTTTGGAAGCAAAACCTTGAGATCATGGAGGTAGAATAAGAGGGAAGATAGTTTAAAAAAGCGCCTAATACCGCACTTTCGACTAGGATCATAAATAGCTCCCCCGAGAAACTATTATTCCAGTGGCGTGCTCAAAAGCGTTTGTCGGGACGCTGGACATACGATACAAAAATGAAAATGTAGCGAGTTAATGGCATTCATTAAGTATATATTTATACAGTATGACCCCGAATTGAGTTCACAATAGGAAAAAAAAACTGTATTTTCTATTTTACAAAAAAATGACATAGGAGTAACATTTTTTGCTGTGTGCTTAAAATCGAAAAAAACCGAAAGTAACGAAGAACTTAGAAATATGAAAAATTAATTTTAAGAGAACAGACTAGGAATATTGAAGTTTTAATAGCAGATTTATTCGTTTTGAATTAAGCAAAACATGTTATTCCTATGTCATTTTTTTGTAAAATAGAAAATACAGTTTTTTTCCCTCTTGTGAACTCAATCCGGGGACATACTGTATATTTAATCGTTGTTAATGGTAAGGTTCACGAATGGGTAAAGGTCAAATTCTTTTAGTATTTGCTACCTGTGAACCCATTCCCATTCGAAACCAAAGTGCACGGTCTCTGATCCTCTTTTGATAACCGAGCGCTTCCGATGTAGTAGGTACCGAAAGGATCATAAATGACTCTTGCTTGGAGCTCTTTTGCCCGCATTTCTATAATATTGGTTAAATGAGGGACTCCCTCCTGTCATATTACCTCCATGCTTGAGATGCACATTTGTATGGAAGATGCACAATGTAAATATTTTCTAGTAATTTCGTTTGTAGACATCAAAATTGTTTGCTATGCAAAAATTCAGATCAAAAATAATTAAAATTATTGCTTCTGTGTTATCACCAGTACGCGGAATTCTATCTCAGGGCTGGAGTCCCCAGTTGAAGTAAGGTGTGTTTTACGGCGGGTAGCGGGAACGCTTTGATCTGGTCCACAAGGTCGTAGCCAGTGCGTCGCTGGCACTGTTTACAGCTAGTAAAAAAACTACTTCTATATTACTATATTATTTCAAATAATAATACTTGATGCCCCTTTTTAATTTTTCAACCACAGGACCACATATTTGTGATTTTGAAATGTTGTATTATATTGATATAGTCGAAAAGAAAAATATATTTCTAATCAAATCAAGATATTATTCCGCGCGTTGGTTATCACATTGTGATTATAATTTACGGTATTCTTTTAATTTAGGGCTACGTTGGTACTTGGTTTTCTGCAACAAGAACTGTTGGGATCGAGTATGTATGAATATTATCATCATGACGATATTACTTCTATAGCCGAATGTCACAAATGTGCTTTACAAAACACCGATTACACAACAACAAAGATTTACAGATTCAGGACGAAGGATGGAGGTTTTGTAAAATTGCAGACTGAATGGAAATCTTTCAAAAATCCTTGGACTAAAGATATTGAATATCTTATAGCCAAAAACACTTTAATATTGTATGTATATATCAAATAAATGTGAGATAAAAACTATTTTTTTTTTCATTTAAGGACAGACTTTCGTACAGTTGAAAGTAGTGCTAGTAGAACAGATGGTGTTCAAGAAAATTTGGAATTTTTTGCTCAATGTATACTTCAAATGTTAGTAAATAGTACCATTTGAAAAAATTAACAGTATTTTTGTAGGTGGCAAAGACATACAAAGATTAATAAATACACATGTAGAAGCAAGTAAGATTGGTCGTCAAATTGCTGAACAAGTAATGGACTCTCAAAGACGTGGAGGAGATCTCTCAGCGAGTAGCAGTCCCAAATCTGAGGCGGAATCTTCGATACCAGTTTCTAGCACTGAGGTAACTGTTCTGATTTATTGAGCTATTAATTAGCGCCAGAAGTTTTTGTTGTTTTATATATGTAATCAGTTACAAATAATGGAGTTCATTTTTATCTAGTACCTAGTGTGTGCTCTACACTGATTCCATGACCAAAGATTAATATAAATCTGATAGTGGCTTGAAAATAATGGAATATGTATATGCTGTTGACATAAGTTCATTCGGTCAATATGTCCACTAACTAGCTAATGTATGTATTACAGCTAACATCCGAAATCCGTTATTATGCATAATAACTAGACATTTTAGGAATTATGCGTAATAACTGAAATTTTCCTGTTCCTCTGTTAGTTATTATCAATATTACCTAAACGTTTCCGTTATTATGCATAATAACTGACTACTGAACTGACAAGTTTAGTTATTAACTTATTACGCATAATTCCTAAAATGTCTAGTTATTATGCATAATAATGTATTTCGGATATTAGCTGTAACATATGCATTGACTAATTTACTCAGTAAATGTGTTCAGAATGGACAATATGTAAACTTCAAAATGTTTTTACACACCGAAGGCTAGACAACCCGTTGGAAAGCTGAAATTTAGAGGAACTCGGGAAAATTGGCAGACGTGGCGACACCAATGAGATAGGTGTAATTCAGCGTCCGGCGGGGCTTTTGCCCGGGAAGTAGCTGTTTCCGTCCACTAGTTGGTTCCCCAAATAGCAGGAAAGTACGACCTTTCGGCACAATGGGAAAAACACATACCTTGGTTACCACACTTACATTTCAATATGTAAACTTTTACTAGTCGAGTAGTCAATGTATACGTTGATGATTCTCCCAAAGTGTGCACCAAAAAACACATCATGACATAGCCTCACATTATACTGATGTTTTAGTGGCGTTTACCTATTATTTGTTGTTATTGTGTGGTATACAGGGTGTTATTGAAAGGTACGTACAACAAAATTGACAGTTCTTCGCGAAGTCTAAGAAGCCTGAAAAACTTAATTTGTGTTATCAAAATTATAAGGGGAAAATTAACCCCTATCCAACCTTTTTAGACGCTACTGAAGGATAAATAGGTAAAATTAATTTATTTTAGTAAATCCTAGCAACTGTAACAATAATAAAAAAATAAGAGACACTTTTGTTGCTACAGAAACGAAAGATGACCTTTTTATCAGAGGCGTACAACGAATTTGGACATAAATTTTAATAATTTTTATCTCTAAAAGGAGAACAGTTTATCTGAACTTTTTTTAAATTTTAGCACCCATACTTCGAGACCAATTGCCGGTTTTATTTTGTACGTACCTTTCAATAACACGCTGTATAACATTAACTGCTAGTGTAATTTACATACAATGCACAAAAACGCAATTAAAACAAAGTTTTATCAACGCATTGAAAAAATCCCGCACAAAAAATTTTTCGTTCAAATTTGGAAAAATATCTTATATGTATGTTAAAGGAAGAAGTGAAAATCGCAATCGAGTCCGTCCGCCGACTTTCTACTTTTACGTTTTCTCGACCTTTTATAACCCCTAGAGTACGAAGAAATAGGTCCCCCGTTTCCGTCTGTCTGTGCGTCTGTCTGCCTGCCGGCCCGGTTTTTATTAGATAGAGAATCTCCGAAAGTACTGGGCCAATTGTTGTCAAATTTTGCATTTATATTAGGAATAACATGTAGATGGCAAAATGCTAACCAAAATTTGTCTAATCATCCCCACCAATAATATGATGACGTTACTGCAAAATTATACATAGTAAACGGGTTTTAAACTGTATAAAATAACATAGTCCTACACATGTAGTGTATGACTCCGAATTGAGTTTTTACCTGAAACGTCCAGATTTTTGGAAAAAAAATCAAAATTATAAAACAACATTTTGCAATTTAATTTTGAATCTGCAAAACTGAATGCTTTGAAATCTTATAGATGTTTTAAAGTTATGATAAGCATGATAAATTTTTAATTAAAATATATTTACTTATCCCCTCCAAAAAATTCATGACGTCACCTCAAAATTTTGACGTATAAATCCTATATATATTGTACAAAATATGATGAGTTTGTACTTGTTGTTTTTGATTTGCATATACAGGGTGACTCAAAAAAATGTATGAATGCCTGAATTTGTTTTATTGATTTAATCAGAAACTACAATACCGAATGCTTTGAAATCTTGGAAACGTCACCTCAAAATTTTGCTGAATAAACCCTAAATGTGCAAAATTTGATGAGTCAATACTTGTAATTTATCAGTGCATTAATATTTTTTAGATTTGCTTATACGGGGTGCCTCAAAAAAATGAATGACTGAATCAATTTATATTATTGATTAAATCAAGAATTGCAAAACTGTATACTTTTAAATCTTGTAGACGTTTTGAAGTTATTATAAGCATGATAACTTTTTAATCAAAATGTATCTGTTTATCAACCCCAAAAAATTTTACCGAATATAGATACTATCTAAAATTGCAAAACATGATCGTCTATACTTGTAATGTATCATTGCATTCATATTGTTTATATTTGGTTATACCTACAGGGTGACTCAAAAAAATTAATGAATTAGTCAAATTATTTTACTGAATAAATCAATACTTTGAAATCTTGCAGACGTCTTAAAGTTATTGTCAGCCTGGTAAATTGTTAATCAAAACATATCTATTTATTTTATGTGAAACCTCGTTTTTGCTCCATATAGGTTATCCCGAAAAAGTAAAATTCCGCAAAACAAAGTTTATAATTTTTCATAGAAGCAGTATTTGTTGGGCTGTACTTCAGAAGCGAGGGAAGTTCTGTCGAAATAACCTTCGACCAATTTTTTTAATATGGTATTGTACATCAGTACTATGTGCTACTTTTTATATAGGAATAAATTTAACTATGCTGTTCCATAATGTCCTAGTGCTTCTTTCCCTATATTTAGGTACTATATTTACTGCATTTTTGTGAGACCATAGCCTGCAATCGCAACTAATCTACCATGAATAATGTCGGTTATTTTTTTTTATTTTTGCTCTAGTTGACTATGACACTTACGTCAGCCGTTTCAATTGCATTGCTGACGCACGTGCCAGCAGTGTCAACTAGAGAGGAAATTTAAAAAAAAATCGAACGGTAGATCTTTGCAATTACCCAAATTTTAATTTTGGACGATCAACACCAAGATTATTAGATGAGCTATAATAACTATTTCTGAAAAAAATAAAGAACATTTTTTTGTCTACTCAGTTACTTAATAGTTAGAGAAAGTCTTTGTCTTTATCATAGAATTTTTTTTTCTCAGAGTATACAAGAACTTGCAAAATTTTAACCTATTGCTTTACCAGCACTGAAAATGCTTAGCCTTGCAGTATTGACTGTATCAATTATTATTAACATAAACTTAACATTGTAATACTTTTAACGCCATTAGGTAAAAAATAAAACTCTAAAAATGTTTTCTCTTTTTTATGTGTGAACATTTTAACAGCCTTATTATTAGAGCAGCTTTCAACAGGAAAAGGTACAGGGGCGGGGCTTAAGATGCGCCACTTGTAGTCGGGCTAGCAGTGGCGTAACATCGATGTATTGAGAAGGGAGTTTCGGCTGAGTTACATTTCTTTCAAAAACAATTAAAAATAGAGCAATTTCCACAGAAGAATACAGACAACCATTTAATAAAAATAAATGTATTTGTTTGGTAAAAAAATAGACTTACGTAACAATAAATTATGATAATCTATCACACAAAATTTGGTATTTTTAATTATTAAACGAGTTTATAATGTGTGGGATTATAGCATGAGTAAAAAATTTCACGAATCCCTCATTATAAACCAGTATCATATACTATTTTATAGTCGACTAGTCTTAAAGCAACAGTTAAATCTTTAGATAAAAGCGGGCTTAAAACTCTGAGAATAAGCAACCTATGACTATAATTATATGGTTTTTAATTTTCTGGTACAATTTATCGATATCGTAAAGTCGGATTATAATAAGGCTTAACGTTTTCTGTCTTTAACATTGAAGTAATAATCGCAGTTCGTATTCTAGCATTCGTTTATAACTAGAGCTTCGACTGTACCGTAATTTAACAGTAATTATTGCTCACTAAAAATTACCTTTTTACTTCTTTTACTTACTTTTTTATTCAACTCATACATCGAATACAGCACTAATAATTGTTTAAATTCTTTTTCTATAATGTCAACGCTAATAAAATAGAAAAGTGATATTTTTATTAACCGCAATAATATTTTAATATTTCAAAATCGAAATATTCATCGCCGCTGCCACTGCTTGCACGATATTTGTAAGGCCAAACCAAAACAATGTTGTGCGCACTCCCACCACCTGTACCGTTTTGTGTTGAAAGCTGCTCTACCTACACACTGAAACATGGCATTTAGACTTAAAATTTATACTTTTCAGAATCACATAACAAGTGCACAGCCAGAATCTACAACAGTCATACAGGATTTGTGTGAATCCACAAGGACATATAATCAAGTCAGAAATGCTGTGAATGATACAGGTAAATAACGTTTTGCATTTTTGAAATAGATAATTATTTTTAAACGTTTGAAAATTTCATGACATTTAAAAATAATTTAGATGTTTGACATACGACTGTTGGAATATAGTTTTTAAGAATAGTCCAAGACCGCGTAATTACTACGTCCATGGACATGTAGATTTTTTGAAAAAAAGATCGAAATTGTGTAACAAAATTTTGCAATTTAACTTTGAAATTGCAAAACCGAATGCTCTAAAATATTGCACACGTTTTACAGTTATCGTAAACATAGTAAATCGTTAATCAAAATTTATATCTTTATCCCCTTCCAAAAAAAGTTGATGACGTCATCTCAAAATTACTATGCTGTTAACGGCATCGCTAATTTAGCAACATGAATTAGAATAGAGCTGTTTCGACAATTAGACCAATTGTGCCAATTTCTTTCGGACAAAAAAAAAACTCTGAACTCCTTCTGTCCGCCATTGCCAGTAAAAACCCTTTTATTTGTTCCTTACTTGTAAACATCAATTTACGAAGTCACTGTATTCAACATGAAAATGTCACTTAACTGGCTATATATAGCCTCTAAAAAATGTTACTGGCTAGCCAGTAAAATTTTTACAGCCCTCCTCGTGCTCATACAGCCATGTATTTTAAACATTTTAAACTATTATAAGTTGAAATGACAGCCAAAATTGATTCAGGTAAATTTTCAGTCACAATTGCTGCTTCCTCAGTAATATAACTTGCGCCACACTCATTTCAGTACATACATCGAAAACGATAAATCGAAAAATCTAAATGACAAAACTAGACAACACAATAATTGCTATGATAAGTGCCATGCTGACGTGCGTTTCCAAGGCAATACGTCTAAAGCTCATACGATGTTTCATCAAATATTGGACCTTCTACTAGAGTTTTTAATAGTTTATAATACTTTTTTACTTCCTCTTGTCTTGTTAAAGCTTGTTTACTATCGTCTGAACTAACTCGGTAAATTAGCCTTTACACGCACCCTGCCTCTAAAGCGTTACAGTGGCAGCTTTACAGGCACCGTGCCTGTAAAACGTTGTCATGACAGCACCGGAATCAAACACACATTCGCTGCGTTGGCCTTTTTCTTAATCTCACTAATGCTGTGCTAATACTAACGTTAAAATCACCTTCAAACTCTTCATCTTCATCGAATTCCACAACTAACAGAGCTCACAAACAAAATTAAACTATTTAAATTATTAATCGAATTTACAAATTGACAGTCCCGTTATTTTCAAACAATTCAATTTTCCATAGTTACCGGAGCAAACTATGAAAAATGACTATAATTTCTATGACTGTAATTTCAAGTAAAATTTCTAGAGATGCCAAAGTTGTTCATTTTCAGGATTTTCAGCAAGAGGAAGTAAAACGTTGTACGCGGCTCGCTTGCAACTAGCCTTTACTGGGGCTCACCGGATTACAGGACTCGCTCCTACGTCGCTCGCCCTGCAAACATTCCGGCTCGCCCGTAAAGGCTAATTTACTAAGTTTGCCACGTAAATAACTATTGTACAACCATCGCTTTTTCGATCATTTACCGTATAGGTTTCCATAGCAGTAAGTTCAGTTTACGGGTTGCTACGACTAACAACTAACAGGCGAACGGTAAGTACATTACTTACTGTTCAGCTGAACGGTAAGTAATCATGCATTCAAGATTTTTTTCATTTTAAATTCCATGAGTGTTCGACTTCGACATTTTCGCTTTCAGAATCACTCATGATTGATATTTTAAGTAAATAAATCACTCACTAATAGTCGCGGAAAGAAAATTAACTCGAAATCAAGCCAGATCAAATCTAAATCGACAGCGGTCAAAATGGAAACTGATTTTTAAAATTGTTGTTTATACAGGATCATTATAAAATATTGTAGTCAACTCACCTGTGAAAAACAATTGAAATTTTTCTCGTGCCGCCAATCACCAAAATGATTTCAACTCTTTTGAAATGTCACGAACGTCGAAACAAATCTATCAAATGTGTCAAAAATTGAAATGCCAGGTTTGCGGTTTAATTTCATTTTAAATAGACACAAAAATACGCCAGGCCAGAGCATTAAGGGTTGCAGTGTTATCGATCATTTGTGAACGCCACTGCAATACATTTCAGCTTCAAAAATTGTAAATTGTCAGAAAAACGTTTAAGGGCTTTGTCATGAATTACCCCTTGGAAAGTCGATTGGAGTTGAACAGAATAAATCATCTGGTCTGTTTTGCAAAAAAGGAATAATTTTTCAAATAATGAAATCCAAAAAGTGAGGTTAAATTTGTCGAAACCAATGAACACGGTAATTAATTAAAAAATTACATTTTTATAGGTACCCTGAAGGTAAAAATTGTGAAAAATCACGTAATGGACAATGGCAGAGCAAGTCTTATCACAGTTAACGAACAGTACCACTGTTTTAACATGACAATGAGTAATGATTTTTTGCAGTAAATAATTTTGCCAAAGTGGTGATCCCGCGAAAGTTCAGTTTGTAAATTGTAAGGAATCGTCAAAACATTGTGCAGACGTGGTTTGTGACCGGTGCTTTTCTCTTGAAAAAACACAACTGAAAGCCTTGATCTTCATCCCTACAATAGGTGAAAACTGCTATGTCCAAACATTACCTTCAGCTTTGCAGTTTCTAGATATCTGAAACATACTAGATCTGCATAACAGGAATGTCAAAGAAGTTCTACCCAAAACACGCCCACATGGCCATCCTAATATCAAGATTTTTCAAAATTTCTATAATAAAAAATATGAAAAAAACAATAACATTTCAGGAGCATAGTGTTAAGAGTTCTGTAGATGATTATGAGATCTCTTGAAACAACAGAATGTTTAATAAAGATTTTTAACCTTCCTAATAGTAAAGTTACAATTATTACTAAACAGTAAGTTGAAGTAATTTTTAAATTAAGAGAATGCAACTAACACAGAAAGAAAAATGAAAGTTACTGAAAATAAAAAACTTTATTGCAGTATCTACATACACTTTCTACATCCAATTTTGTTTATTGATCACATTCATTTACTTTAAAAAGTATCGGGCCTATGAATCGTCGTCTAGAAACAGCTAACCACACACCAACCTTCACTGCGTGTAATGGTGTTTCTTCAAAAGGGTGAGTATTTTCTATACACCAAATTCTGAAGTTCTATGAGTTGACATAGCCTAACAGATGAAACCAGACTTCATCAGAAAAGAACGACAAATCAAGAATCCTGTTATGGTCCATATTAGCTTGAAACCAACGACAATACCCAATGCGGGGAGGAAAATCAGCTGGTTGCAGCTCCTGAACCAACGAAATCTTATATGGATGCATATGTAACTTCTCTTTTACGATTTTCTGGCACGTGCTGTATGGTATTCCGGGCTGTAAAGAGTTTTGACAAAGCTTTATTCAGACTTTGTTTCATTCTCATCCTTAAATCTTCAACAACACTAACTTGAGGTCTCCCCGTCGGTTTTCACTTAGAAACGCTACCAGTGTTGTTAAATCTGGCCATAATTCGCCGCTAAAGCGTCTTCAAAAATTCTTCCTCAATGACAACAGGATATTTCACCAGATACTCGTTTTTAGACGCCTTCACAGAGTACACTCCATCCCCATCCTCATTTAACACCCCATTACGGTAATAGGACATGATGATTGCTCCAAAGAACTAAAAAATTCATTTGTAACACTGACTATAGTTATTCCTCTGTGTTCATTACCTGAGATTATTCCACAATGATCTGTAGTTTTGATAAAAACTGTTTTTTGAGACACTTATTAAAGTTGGAACAAATGGGCACACAGCAAAAATGAAAACAAGACCAGTCAATTAACGCACAAAGTGTGGGAAAACGTACCAGTAATCAGTAGAAATGAAAAAGTTATTGACATCTGACAGAATTTGATGAAGCGTTGAAACAGTGCAGCCGCTAATGTCATACTAATGTGGCGTTAAAAATAAAAATTCCAATATTAGTGTAATCCTTTCCACAAAACTGAAAAAGGCGGCACACAATGTCACCAAAGTCATGGCCTTCCTTGACTACAATATTTTATAATGACCCTGTATTAATCGAAACCATAGTAACAAATTTTAAATTAAAAAACGACCTTGTTGATGTTTGATATAAATTCTTTCAATTTATGAATTTGATAAAAAGACCCAAATCTTTTGATGGTCGTACAAAAAATAGTATAAGCATCACGAACGTTAAGGGGGTTTACTGGTCTCAGACAAATTGGAGACGTCGCTTCGCTCCGTCTCCAAACTTTTGCCTTCGACCAGTAAACACCACTTACCGTTCTTAATACTTAATATACTAATTTACAAGTGAGAAACAAATAAAACATTGAACAATACACGCAAGGTAACGGGATTTTACTGGCTCCAGAAGGTTACTGACTCGCCTGCGGGTCGCCAGTCATATCCTTCTGTCCGCCCTTTTACCATGCTAGTAATGTTAAATACTATTACAGGCTATAGCCAGTTAAGTGAGATTTTCATGTTGAATACAGTGACTTGGTAAATTGATGTTTACAAGCGAGGAACAAGCAAACGATATTAAAGCAACTGTTTTTGGCGGCCTTAATATTAAAGTATTCTCCTTCAAAACTGAAGATTTGTTCGTTAGTTTTAAAGCATTTGGTATAAAATGGAATACGCTTTATTGAGTTTGTTGTTAACTGTGCTATTAACGACATCGCTAATTTTAACGACATGAATTAGAATAGAGCTGATTCGACAATTAGAAGATTGACTTGTGCCAATTTCTCTCGGACGTTGCCCGATATGAGGATTTTATAATACAGTCTCCAAAACTCGGATCTCGTTGTCCGAATGTGTTGCGGTTAAAACACTTCTCCTTTTACTTACAGGCCAACCGTTTCGTAATTTCATTTCGAGTATTTTGAAAATTTTATCTGTTGGATATCTAAGTTCGGAATATCTCTGAGCGTACAAATTTGCCGCCGCTTGAAAATT